TTGGCATAACACTAATTTATATGGAAGATCTCCAAATTTTCAAATACCTCACATAATCCTTCCTGTTCCTTTTGCTGGAATGACTAGTCCAGAAATATGTTTTCCTTAGAAACTTGTTTCCATGTCTTAAACTTTTTAGGAATAATTTGGATCCAAAGTTTCTCATCTCTGGCTTCAGTCCAAAGGTCAGGCGTCTCTAAGCCCAGAAAACACAGCACTGCTGGTGTGCATTTAGCTGGAATGTCCATGGCTGAAAGTCCTAAACTCATTAAAGCATTCCCCAGGAAACAGCACATGCCAGTGAGATTTAACAGCCTCATCTGTAACCCAATTGGACTTCATTTTCCTTTCCTTTTTACTGCCAGTTTTCTAATAGCTAGTAGTTCTTGCCAAGCTTTACATTTAGTAGTTTGTGGGGGATTTAATTTTGGTTTGGTTTTTATGAGCTCTAATCTCAGACTTGAACCACAAGCTCACTGCTCCTGTGGTACCTTGCCAAGCCCTGCCAATACCCAGGTCCAGAGGGTGATCCCTAACATCCCACAGCTTGGGATTGTTTAACTGGAGCCTTCCTGCAGGAAATGCACTCAGAGCTGTCTAAACAGAAGAGACTTCAGCAGTTCTTAAATTAAACTACTGAAGTACTTTCCTGGATTTAATATCCTTCACTTGTTTGTAGCATAGGAGGGAAAAAACAGGAGTTCTGTTATCAAACACAGAGTTCTCACTGGCCAGTGAATGTTTACATGTGCTTAGGCCAAAGCTGTTACCCTCTGGGTGTGGTAGGAATACATCATTAAGTAATAGTCTAATTAAAACCCATGACATAATGTAATGGGAGTTGCAGAGACAGCCTTTGCTTTGAAACTGAGCCCTGCTGGAATCCTGAGTTTGCACTCACTCACATCTCCAGATCCTTGGAGCTCTGCCCCAGATCCCTCTGATTTCCAGGAGCTTTAGGTTACCCAGACCCTGGGAGAGTTCCAGACTAAGACCCTGCACAGCTCTCTGTGAACCTCAGTTCTTTCAGCCCATACAATCACCACAGTTCAACCATAGCATCAGACTTCTAGGATTAAAACCTGCTGGGTTTTATCATAAAACCTGCTAGGACTGGGGAAAAGAACCACAAAAAGTGGGGTTGAGTAAAGAGATGTGGTTGTGGGAGGAGTGTGCTGCAGACAGGGCAGAAGGGTAGCCCAAAACTGAGAGCAGCACGTGGAATAGTTTGCTGCTGTGGTTTCCTGGCAAGCTCTTGCGCTTCACAGCTTGGCCACCTTTAACTCTACTTCTATTAGATAAGGAATTGAGTTAATTAGAATATATGTGTACTTTTCTTTCCAGGAAGCTCCATGACAGATGTCTCCCAGGCAGCCAGGGACCGGTGAGTAACAGAAATGTCTGCAGAATACCAAACATTTGCCACTGCCAAAAGAGTACTGGAAGCAGTGGTTTGGAAACCTCAGTTTTATGCTCTGATGAGCAGTGATGGAGAAACCCCATTCCATTGTTCCTGTTAATGTTCCTTGTGCTCCTGTGCATGCTGAAAAAATGTCTCTGATAGATATTTTTACCCAAAAACCAACAAGCTCCAAATATCAGAGGACCAAAACTGATTTTACTGCACAAATAAGCCCAGTGCCAGCTTCCAGGTGCCCAGGAACTGCAGTATGAGAAATGGGAATTTCCATGCAGGGACTGTCTTTTGGACACCAAAATGCTAAAAATGAGGAATTTGCTTCCCATCAAAGCACTGTTGCTGCATGGTGCAGGTCTTGGATAACTTTTGGAGGATATTAGAGCTAATGCAAAACACAGCTTCCCTGTTCATCGAGGGAACAGCCAGGTACAGCCAGGGCAGCTGCTGGGTTTGTAATGGAGCTAAAAGGGGTGAAAAATGCAGATTTGGTAGAGCAGCACCAGCCCTTGCTCAGAGCAGCCACAGGATTTACACTTGTGTTAAAATGGATGCAGTAAGAACCTCTATTAGCCAGTGTCACTATAGGACACGTGAAAGCACAACGTGAGCCACTGCTATTTGCAAGGTAAAGAAGAAGGTTATTCTCTGACTCCAACTTTTATACTTTTCCAAAGGTGACGGTGGTTTGGAGAGTGAATGGGCCACCTCTCCAAAGACATTGGACAAACTACTAGTATATTAAGGTTTTTCTACCCCATGAAGGAATGCAAAACAATACGTTGTTTATAGAAAATTGTGTGAGAAAGTTTTCTAACAGAATGTAAACTCAGAAGGCTTTAGAAAATCTTAAGAATCAGGGCAACAAGGCATAAATTGAAATGATGAGAAACCGATCCCGAAGAATTCCTGACAGCCGAGTTTGCCCTGTCTTTGGCAGGGCCTGTGAGAACGTTTCCTTCATCGGGAGGCCGTGGAGGATCGTGGATGGGAAGCTGAACCAGCCGGTGTGCAAGGGGATGATGGAGGCCGTGCTCTACCATGTGATGAGCAAGCCGGGCGTGCCGCAGTCGGGGCTGCTGCAGCACTACAGCGGCGTCCTGCAGCCCGTGGCCGTGCTGGAGATCCTGCAGGTACAGCCAGGGAAACGGGAAAGCAGCCTGCCCCATCCAGTGCAGGGCAGCACAGCCAGAGCAAGGGAGCAGGGAGCTGCAGTACCCGTGCTGTCACTGATGTCAGAGCTTGCTCCTAAATGGATGTACAGGGAGGTGGAAGGCCAGGAACTTGCTGAAGAGTGGGGGCTTGTCACCATGAAATTGAGTGTTTGACGTTCCCCCCCTCGCACAGCCCCCTGAATATCAGGCTAGCTCAGAGGTCCGAGGCTGTGAGGGGAGGAATATCAGGAGATGGCAAAGATTTCCAAAACAGGCTCTTAACCCAATATATGTTGGCTCAGCTCTCTTTATTCTGTGTTGTCCATATGGAGAGCGGGGCAAAAGAGAAAGAACAGGAAATGTCAGGGATCTATATAGACTTTAGACAAGATGGGCTTCCCTGGCTCTCAGCCAGCCCCATTGGGGCAGGAAGGAGGGGTCCAGGGTTATCTGATCAGAGTCACAGGGTCCCAGGGACAGGGGAAATAAGAGTGCCCATGAGCTCACTGTAACAAGTGTTTAATGCAGTGGTAATCACAGGATCATGGAATAGTTTTGGTTGGAAGGGATATTGGGACTGGATGGTATGTAAGGTCCATTCCAACCCCGTAACATTCTGTGATTCTGTGAAGAATGCCAAGCAAAGAGGAAACCCAAGGACAGGTGTTGATCCAAAGATCAGTACCACCTTAAAAATCAGCCACCTTAAAGATCCTCTGGTTCCAGTCCCCAGTCATCACTGATAATCCAAATATTCTTAATTTTTTTTGCTTATAGCCCTTCTAGATGGGTAATCTGCCATGAGAATCAAACTGAAATGTGTCTGTGCTAGACATTGTGTCAATCGGACCTTCTGACCAGCCTACAGGTCCTTAATTGTCAAACAAAAGATGGCAAGAAAATTTTGAATTTCTCATCGTTTTTCTCCCACATTTTGACATTCAGTTGCCACCGCTTTGGAAATGGAACTTTGAATATTTATAGGAAAAGAACAGAAATCAGAATCTGAATCAGATCAGTAATCCTGCAGGCCTTCCCAAAACCATGACTTCCCTGCTAATTGGAAATCCATTTTCCAGTGTCCATGTGCCACTTCTTCCCCAGGGCTTGTACCCTGTGGTGACAGTGAAAGCTGGGAGTGTTGCCAGTCGTGCATATCCTGTTCTGGATGTTCCAGTATGGATCCCTGGGCAATGTGAATTCAAACCCATAAAATCAAGCAGTTAATTGCCTCTATATTTTACAGAGTGGAGAACTTCAATCTAACTTCTGCACCAATAAATTCACTAAGAACTGGTTTGGAAACCACAGACAGAGCTTGTCATACACCTAATAACCATTAACAAGGATTGGCACAGAAGTCTGGGATTGACATCCAGAGGAGCCTTAGATTTTTTGTAACTGGTCCTAAATGTTGACATTGCTTGCTAAGCACCTTCTGTGTCAGTAACCGTGTATCAATCACTGTGCTTGAAAGAAACTAGACCTATCTAGCTATAGCCAGAGCTTGCATGGTTTTATTAAGCTGTTTATCCTTCTTACCTTTTTGTTGTAACCAGGGGTTCCTCAGGGGCCCAAGTGAAGCCACTTTTGGCATAAATTGTCCAACATTTCTGAGAACAATGTAGCTAGAGCAGCATTCACAGCATATTAAAATATATGAATTTTTTTGCAGGGCCTGGAAACTCTTGGTTGCATCAGACGATTCTACATGAAAAAGCCATCCCCAGTGTCACTGTTTTCTCAGCCAGTTGTGGAAGAACAACTACAGCATCCCAAACTGAGTGAAAGCCCAACCATCTACTATGAGCCCACGATAGACTGTACTCTCAGGCTGGGGAGAGTGTTCCCCTGTGACATGAATTGGAATAAATGGGTGCAGATTATCCCTGGATAGAAGGGGTAAAGCTGAGTCATAGGAGATTGGCTTAGCCTGTTGGAGGGAGTGTCCATGGAGATTAAATGTTACAATTTGTGCTCCATCATGTTTTTATTAAGTTATTTATCGTTTTTACTTCTGAAAACTGAGAATAAAGCTTGATGTTAAAACACAAGTAATATGTGATCCTACTTGAAGCACATTCTCCTTTTATCAGTAACTGGTTGCAGTGTGTAGTTTGTAGTTCCTGCTTTAACTGACAGGATTTTCACAGGTCACAGCCAAGCCCCTTTTTTTTATTTTTGGTTCTCTGTAAGGGCACAGTGGTTACACTTCCCCTCTGCTTTACCTGCTGTGCTGTGCTCGGGGCTGAGGCGTGGGGGGTTTCCTCACCGTGCTTCAGCTCGGCTACCTTCACACCTGTCTGTTCAAACACGGGTTTCTCGGTGTGACCGTATCACCCTGCCCCGTGTGCGTTGGGGGCACAGCACCGTGCTGGAGCCTGTTCGCCCTCCCTGCCCGGCCCAAAGCAACCACGCAGCAGCCGCTCGCTCGCCCGCAGCGCTGTTTATTGCGGGAGCAGCAGCGATCCTAAACCCGCTCCCCCGGCCCTCAGTCCCGCCAGCGGTGCCCGCACTGCGGGTTGCAGCACTTGTAGAAGGTGGTCATGGGCTCGTCGGCCGAGCGCGTCTGGATCTGCATGAAGTAGGCGCGGGGGTGCTCGCACTTGGGGCACGGCTCTGCGGGAAAGCGCCGTGAGGGGCCGTGAGGGGCGGCGGGGCCCAGCCAGCCCCGCGCCGCCCCTCGGCCCGGCCCTACCTGCCGTGGAGTCCACGTTCTCCCAGGCCGCGGCGCCGCCCAGCACATCGTCCACCTCCTTCAGCCGCGGGTACTTCCTGCTGGTCACCTGCGGGACGGGCACGGGAGCGGCTCAGCCCGAGCCCCGAGCCCCGAGCCCCGCGCCCGGGGCACGGCGGCCCCCGCCCCGCGCCGCCCCGCCGCGGTACCTTCCGCGTCACGTTGCGCACGTAGGGACAGGTGGTGCAGGCGAAGCGGTGGCAGCGCGGCCCCTCCTCGGCCACCAGCACGTTCCCGCAGGCCGGGCAGAAGAGCAGCATCGCGGGTTCCGCCGCGCCGCCCGCCCCTTCCGGCGATGGCGGCCGCGGGGCCGGCGGAGGAGCCGGCGGAGGAGCTGGCGCACGCCGAGGTGCTGGAGCTGTTCCAGGCGGCGCTGGCGCGGCTGGTGCAGGACCCGCTGCTCTGCGACCTCCCCCCGCAGGTGCGCCCGGGGCGCGGGGCCGGGCCGGCGCGGCTGGGCTGGGCTCACGGCCGCGTCCCTCGCCCGCAGGTGACGGCGGAGGAGATCGGCTCGCAGGTGGCCCTGGAGTACGGGCAGGCCATGACGGTGCGGGTGTGCAAGGCGGACGGCGAGACCGTGCGTGCGTGCGGGGCCGGGCGGGGCGGGCGGGGCCGGCGGGGCGCGCCTGACGCGGCTCTCCCGCCCGCAGCCGTGGTGGTGGTGCAGAACGCCTCGGTGCTGGAGCTGAAGAAGGCGCTGCGGCGGCACATCCAGCTGAGGCAGGCCCGGCAGGGCGGTGTCCAGCACCTCAGCTGGTGAGCGGGGCCGGGCGGGCGGCTCGGGAGCGCGCCCCAGCCCGGCGCCGCTCCCGCGGCTGCCCCTGAGCGCTTTTCCCGCAGGAGGTACATCTGGAGGACGTACCACCTCACGTACAATGGAGAGAAGCTGGCGGATGACAGGAAGAAGCTGAGAGAGTGAGTTACGAGTCAGCGCTGGGGGTGAGGGGCCCACGCAGCGTCCCCACGGGCAGGGCTGAGCTGGGAGGTTGTGCCCTGGATCACGGGTCCTGTAGTGGACATTGCCAGGAAAGGTGGGACAGCACTGACCACAGAAGCGGGACAGGAAGACTGAGAGGCTCTCTGCAGGACAGGCTGGCCCTGGGGGGTTCCTCATCCTCAGCCAGCACCATCCTGTGCTGGTTCAGCCAGTGCAAGGCACCCCACAGAACCCTTGGCCATCCCTCCCAAGCTCCTGCAGATGGTTACAGTTACTCAGCTCGGCACAGATATTGATGTAGGACAGGAAAGAGCAGGGAACAGGAACAGGGAGGCTGTGGATGCCCCAGCCTTGGCAGTGGTCAAGGCCAGGTTAGATAAGGCTTTGAGGAACCTGGCCTAGTGAGAGGTGTCCTGTCCATGGCAGGGATGTTGACACTGGATGCTCTGTAAGGTCCACTCCAACCCTGTAACATTCTGTGATTCTATGATGAATGCCAAGCAAAGAGGAAACCCAAGGATGGGTGTTGATCTTTGGGGCTGCTCAGCCACCTCTCAGACACTCTGGTAACAACGCTGACAGGTGATTCCCATGTTTCCCTGCCCATTCTTGAGGCGAGGTAGAATAAGGCACTTCCCTGCAGTGCTGGGTCTGCCAGCCTGTTGCAGACCAGCGAGAAAAGGTGGTCTGAAGTACTAAAAATTCAGCAAGACAGCCCTAATCAAAGCTGTCCTTGGAAGAGTGAGCCTGGGTGACAGATGTTGCATTTAAGGGGTCGTTGCACTTAAAGGCAGATGAGCAGATCCTTCAGTGCTGGCAGCACATCCCACATACACAAGTGAGAATTTTAATGTGTCCTCTAGTAGAGCACAACATGGGATTGTAGGAGTCCCTATGTCCCTGGGAAAGATGAAGCTATAGGGTTTTACAGGTTGTTTTTCCTGGGAAGCTGGCATTAACAGCATAACTCTGTGTTCAGGTATGGCATCAGGAACCGGGATGAGGTCAGCTTCATAAAGAAGCTTCGGAAGTAACCTGTGGGGTGAGTCCCAGACGTCCATTAAGAGCTCCCAGTTCCTCATCTTCCCCAGGCCATGGTGTTGAGGCTCAGAGCTGATGCTGCTGCTCTCTGCTGGCTGGCAGAGTATTTCTGAATGCCTGCACGGGGCTGGTGCCTGTTTCCAGATCCTGGTAATGTTGTTTGTGCTATTCTCAGGGCAGGGAATGATAATTCAGCTATTTCAGGTAACATAAACTGGGAGCAGCAGCAGGAATAGCTGACTTTATGTTTAGATTCTCAATCTGCTTCTACATTGTCTTGAGACTCATTAAACACAGTGTTCTTTTGCTGCTGTGATTGCTTCTAGGACCTTGCTTTCTTTTAGGCTTTTTAAATGTCTGGAAATCATTGTCAGGAGCATGGCTGGGTTTCTAACTCATGCAGACATAATTCTGGTATTAATACTGCTATTTTGAGAAAGCTGTGCACACAAACACAAGATGTGGCCAAGACTCTCAGGCTTACTAAGTTTTAAATTACGCTTTTAGAAACAGTCACAGTGGCTGAAGAACGAGTAAGAGCAGCTTGTCCAAAGCCTTGTGTTGTTTTGCTGCTCCAGGCAGCTGGGTTAAAAACTGTTCCTTTTTGACCGCAGTTACCTTTTATTCTTCTTTCAACACTGCCATATTTTCAAGATCCAGTGTAATAAAATGTGCGCCCTAACAACAGCCACCTGCTCCAGGGTGCTTGTGACCAGCAGTCACCTCTGGCACTGGCTGGTCTCTCCTGGGCCATCATGGCAGCGTGGTGAGAAAAGATCAGCATGCAATAATTATTGTCACTGACAAATATTTTCTTTCTTAAACAGAGAGAGCAGAGAATCCAGCCCTACCAAGACCAGACTGTGGATTAAGCAACTTCCTGGAGGAAAAGGCTGTCACACTTCAAAGAGGAACAAACTCCATTGACTGGACATTCTCACGTTTTTTACAGTTGCTCTTTGTGGTGTTTGCCTCTGAGCTGTATGTGGGTTGCAGGGATTAAAGAGATCCTCTAGTTTTCTGAGGTTTTTCAGGCCCTTATTTCCAGCTGCAGATGTGTATCTGGCTGGTTTGGGTGCTCCACAGGGTACATAAAACAGCAGGAGTGAGATTAAGTAACAAAGGTAGGCACAGACTACTCAGAACAATTCACAGTAGCTAAAACGCTACCTCACTGTTTAATCACCACCTCAGCAGTAGTAAACAACTCTGGTTAAAAATGTAGTATTGAAACTAGTGTAATAAAAATAATGGCAGCAGAAAAGGTTCAATACAATTGAACAAGGCACAAATGTTCTGTTTTTCAGAGTCTTCTGAGATAAGGCAAACCATGCCTGCCAAGTGCTAAGGAGACAGTTTAAATTAACCACGGGCAGGGTTAGAAGTGTCATTGGATTAGAGGCTTTGTCCCCATGGAACTGGCACAGCAAATGCAAAGACAGTCCATCTCCAGGGCCTGCTCGAGAAGCCAGTCTTTGCTGTCAGTGGAGCTGTGCATCCAGGTCGTATTTCTCGCAGAATTTGTCTGTGAAGGGTATACAAGTGAGGAACTCGCACCACTCGCACTTGATGGGGTAGAAATAGAACAGAATCACCAGTCCTGAGAAGAGTGCGATGAAGATGAGCTGGAAAACTATAATTTGGCATCGTTTCCTATATAAATCAAACTTCCCAAAGCTAATGTAGGGCAGGAAGGCAAAGGAGAGGAAGAAACCACTGATAAATCCTGAAATGTGAGCGAAATTATCGATCCAAGGCAGGAGGCCAAAGGCAAAAAGAAAGAGCACCACAGCCAGCAGCTTGAAGAAAGCCCTCCATGGGCGTGCCAGGATTTGCCAACTCTGGAAGAGCTCCACAAAGAGACAGGCCAGAATTCCAAATTGGGATCCTGCAGGGCCAACCTGCAGAAGAAGAGCATTACAGATAATGTCAGGCTCATGCCACGTTCCTGGCCTCTGCAGCCAGCTCCAGGAATTAGTTGCTTCTTACTCAAATCCTGTTCAGTGGTTCTTGGCAAAGAGACTCTCCAACTTCATCCATATAATGGGGTGCTGGGAGTAAAGGGATCAAGGTGTGGATTTAGGATCAAGGTGTGAGGCCAGAACAGACTAAGGAGGGCAGATCTGGTTCAAGCTGCCAGAGGGGAGTAGCCCTTGAAGGCAATCTCCTGGCTTGCCCCACCCACCCTGTAGTTTTCCTTAGGAGCTGGAAGGCTCCTGCAGGTCCAGCCATGCAGTCTCCTGTGGGCAGGGTGAGCTCTGCTCTTTGCCACTCTCAGGCGGAGGCTGCTGACACCACACTTGATTCCGAGCCTGCCTGGGGCCCCTCTCACCCCATGGCTGGACAGTCCCCCATCTGTTATGAGAAGCAGCCTTCTTCCTGCAGCCAGCCAGGCCAGCCACTTGCAAAGCCCCTGGTACCCCGGGATGTTGCTGCTCAGCAGCTGAATGATGGTGTGCTGCCATCCTTGAGCTGCAGTGCCAAGGCTGCACTGGTGAGCCCAGCTCTGCTCGCTCTGCCTCAGCCACAGAGGCACAGGCATGTAGAGAAGGGTTGTGCTCAGGGCAGGTTACCTGGGCTGCAGGAGACCCACCTCTGCTCTGTAGGGTAGAAATATTGCACTGGCAAGGTTCCCAGTGATGCCACTGAGAAGGTAGATGATAGAGATGCGGTGCCATCCTGCCAGCTTCTCTAGGTCCCGCAGGATCGTCATTTGGAAACAGACTGAAACCAGACAGTGCAGGATCCTGCCAAGTGCAGAGTACAGGAGCTGAAGCAGCAGCCACTGAAGTTACCCCTGTGCTCATATTCTGTCCCCAGCCTTGCTCAGAGTTCCTGTCTGGCCTTACCCATGCTGCTCATCCCAAACCTTGGGGGACAGCACAGCTCAGATCCCTGTGTCCCCACGAGGGACAGCCACAACCCTCACAGCAGTCCCTGGGCTGAGGGTGCCTCCACCCCCATAGGGGAAGTTTTACACCTCTGCTTACCCAGCGTGGAGGAAAAGAGAGAGCCAGAGGCGGTAGAACTGGTCAGGGACTTCTGGATTTAGGAAAGGAAGGAGCCCACAGACATCATCCATGCAGTGCACCTAGGGCAGAAGTGGGTGTTGAGAGGGGTCCTCCAAGCCCAGGGCACACTGCAGATAGCTCTGGAAGAGGGGCTCCCCCCCAACTTCTCTGTTGAACCAAGTACCAGGCTTTGTCTCCAACACAGATTTACACAACCCCATCCCTTCCCTGCGGCAGTTTTAAGCCCTCATTTTTCACCCCAGCACCCAGAGCTGAGGCATCTGCTTGCCCACAGAG